CTGGGCCCCAGGACCTTCAACAAAACCGGCTCGGAATGAAGAGATGGTCCTGGGGAATTCCTCCTCCTCCTCCTCCTCCTCCTCCTCCTTCTCCTCCCTCTCCTTCCTCCTCCTTCCTCCTCCTCCTCCTCCTCCTCCTCCTCCAGGACACGTTTGGATAAGCAGAGGTCCTTGGAATATGGAGCAGCCCCCGCCTTTGCAGCTCCAGCCTGGGGTCTGGGGCCGGTCCGCGGACACATATTCCGGGTGTCCGACATGATCGCGTTCGTTTCGTGACATGAAGCCTCCGCCCCTGGGCGTGGCCGCGGCCGCGATGCCGCCCCGCGTCCGTTGTCAGGATGCCTCAGCGCAGGCTGGCCGCACCGGCCGCCCACGGTGCTGTTCTTCGCGCCGTGGGCTCCCTCCTCTCCTTGGTCCTTCCCGCCCTCCGCGGTCACCCTCCTCGCCCCTTTTCCCCTCTTGCAGCCTGACAACCCGTGCCTCGTCTTAGCCCAGCCCTCTAGAGCGCGCGAGCGGAGTATCTCTGCCGTGCTGCGACGTACAGTCGGGGCCCTGAAGAAGGAACCCTTTTCGTTGGGGAGGGGCTCCGCGTTCCTTAAGTGTTTCACAGCTTGCCTCAGGCTTTCCTTATGTTTTCGACAGGAAACCGAAGGTTCACTTATGGAAAAAAGGGGCCTCGTTCCTCATTTAGGGTTCCTTGGGTCAACGCCCCGACTGTAGACAGTTTCGTGACATGGTCCATCGCTCCATCCCATGCCTCATGTTCGCTCGGCTGTGCGCGGCGCGCGACGAGCTCAGGGGTTGCAGGCTTGCGTCGTCGAGGGTGCGCCTCCTGGAGGACCATCCGTCTCTCACGGCACGGGCCCTCCAGGGCTCTCGACCCCACCACGGGGCCTGTGCTCTGCGTCCCGAGCCGTTGGTTGACGGTCCCAGGAGGCGGAAGCGGGCATGTGGGGAACCGTCAGACGCTGCACCACAAAACACCGCGGTTTCGCGACGCGGGAGGCCCGGGATCTTCCTCCTCGCCGCTCTCGGCACCGTGCCCGAGGTCCAGAGGCCTCCTCGTGCCCGGAGAAGGGCAGGAAACAGATAGGGCCCTCGTTCTTCCACGCACCGGTCTCTCTTGGGATTCCGTGCCAGCCTCGCGTCCGCGCGGTGGGCGATGGGGTGCGGAGCGAGCGCCAGTGGCCCCCATGCACCGCCGATGAGAAGAGCCGGAGGGTGAAGCGCCTGGGGGGAAGAGGATAGCGTCCTGGCCTGTTCAGAAGTGGGCGGTGCAGGAGGACGCCTGCACGCATCTGCCAGCCCTTGCCCACCCCATCCCTGGCCCGGGATCTGCGCATAGGACGTCTCGTGCACGGACCTGTATCCCCTTCCGTGTTCTTCCTGCTGCTCCTCCTCTTCCTCCTCCTCGCCCTCCTCCTCCTCCTCCTCCTCCTCGCCCTCCTCCTCCTCGCCCTCCTCCTCCTCCTCCTCGCCCTTCTTCTTGTGCTCCTCCTCCTCGCCCCCCCCTCCTCCTCCTCCTCCTCCTCCTCCTCCTCCTCCTCCTCCTCCTCCTCCTCCTCCTCCTCCTCCTCCTGCTGGCCGCGGCGCCAGGGAGGCGTGGGCACCGATCCGGGGCACTGGATGTTGGCCAGCGCCGGTGCGTGTGTGTGTGTGTGTGTGCTTGTGTGTGTGCTTGTGTGTGTGTGTGCTTGTGTGTGTGCTTGTGTGTGTGTGTGTGTTCGGGTGTGCTCGTGTGTGCGTATACATTGTTCATGTTTAAGTATTCGAAAGTTCCTTGACTTTCTGGGGGGCCAAGATCCTCTCGTTTCCACTTGTTCTATCCTGGGCCTCTTCCTGGCCACTCGGGGGCCAGGAGCAGCTAGAAACGAGCACAATTTAGAAGCGAGCACGATCAGAGCTGAGCGACGTGCATACCACTTGTCGCACGAGAGGGGGAGCCCAAACAGGCGTCGACCCTCGGACCTCCCCCCGCGGGATCCGGGGTCCCTCCAGCCGGCTCGGCTGCCGGCCGCGGGGCGCGCCCCCCTCTCCTCCTCGGCGGTTTCTTGCGGTCTCTGCGGACGGCCAAGGTCGAGCAAGCTCAGCCTGGGCCCAGTATAAAAACGAGGGGGAGGCCAGGGAAAGAGCCTCGGGCCTCGAGCCTCCCTCCCTCCTCGAGGCGCTGCGCAGTAGCTCCCGCCTCCATGAGACTCGTGCTCACCGTCGTGAGCATGTCGAGCAGCGGGCGGCCACGCCCGACTCTCTCTCCCCCCCACACATTCCCGTCGCACCCCATCCACGCCCCCCCAACCCACCAGTCCAGCACTGGCCTGAGACGAATCACTACCGGCCGCAAAGACCCCAAAAGTGGGAAGGAGGGGAGGAGGGAAAAAGAGTCAGATATGAAAGGTGGGACGAGGGAGGTAAGGGGAGAAAGTGGCCAATGACCAGAGGGTGCCACTGCGAAGGGCAGCCTCCATACCCTCGAGCCTGTCTAAAAGCATCAGGCGGGTGTCGTTGGCCACGTCAATATGAGCGTTGAGCCTGTACAGAGTTCTCTCCGCCTCGGCAAGAGAAGGGTCAGTACCCTCTGGAGGCGGGTCCTCACCTATGAGGCGGTCCATGCTCTGAGAAGCCTCGTGGGCCTGATGGACCAGGCCAGCCAACATGCGCAAAACTGCAGAAAGCTCTCTGTGGGCTTTCTTTAGGCCCTCATTCAGACGCCTCAGCACAGCCTCCGCGTGAGGCCTAATCATGATGGCCCTCTCACTAAATGTTACTATATTTCCTGGTACTACTGCGCTGGGCAGGACCAGGAATGGCAGGGCTCGCTGAGAGCACCGTACAACTGAAATTTGCCATGTACTGTGGCGTAAGAACTCCCCCTCCGCGTATATGAGAGTCCCTTCCTGCTGAGTGAAGCCTGATCATGCTGGCCCTCTCACTGCATGCTGCATTATTTCCTGGTTCCACTGCGCTGGGCAGGGCCAGGATGTGGCAGGGCTCGTTGAGAGCACCGACAAATTGATGTTTGCCATCTACTGTGGCGTGGAAACTCCCCCTCCGCGTATGTCATATCGTCGTTAGCTCCCCCACCCACGCCGAGCTGGGAGTTTCCAACTATTTGTTCCCTGCAGCGGGGAAAACTTGGTGGAGAAGTTGATAGGGGAGGAAGGAAGAGGTGAGGGGTGATAGGGCCAACTGGGAGCCTGAATGCCCCCAGGGATTCCCTTCCTGCTGCGTGAGGCCTGATCATGGCTCTCTCACTAATTGCTGTTATGTTGCCTGGTGCCACT